GATTATGGATGAGGAGATAAGAAATAAAAAAGGAAAAGTGTGGGTTTTTCTATCCCAAACAAATAGAAACTTTTGTGCAATCCTTCTTGTGTTATTCTGGGCACCCATCAAAAACTTAGATAAATGTGCTTCAGTGCTTTGATTGTCATCCATAGAGTTGTCTTGATTACAGAAATTGTTCTGGTTTTCTTTATCTTTTTTTTTCCAATTGAAATTGCAGTTATTATCCCAATCTCTTAGCCTTTTATGTAGTTAATGCTGATATTAGTACTTATTTCATTCTATTTGCTAGCATTGGCAAAGCTTGGGAACATGTGCTTGGCTGCTGTGCAAGCCTATGACACTGCAACTGAAAATATTGAAGCACTGAATACTGCAGAGTTGAAGTTCCAAGATATCATGAATTCCCCTTCATTAGATGCTGCTTGCAGGAAGATAGACAATTTAGCCGAGAAAAATCAACTTGATTCTGCATTGGTGTTGATGATCACAAAAGCTTGGTCTGCTGCCAAGGAGTCAAACATGATGAAAGAAGAGGTAGAGTGATGCCAGCCTCTGAAGTCCGATAATGGCTGGCCCTTCACATAATTATTTAATAATCAAGAATCGTCTTTTTGGTTTTTTTCTTCGACTGGGCCATTTGTGGATCTTCAACTGTTCACAAATGATCTGATTTTATTCTTATTCATGCCGGTACAGAGTAGAGGGAAATGAAAGTTGTAATGATTGTTCACTTGATGTGCTTGGTCATTGCAGGTAAAAGATATATTGTATCATTTGTACATGACAGCAAGAGGCAATCTTCAAAGACTAATGCCAAAGGAAATTAGGATACTGAAGTTTCTTCTCACTATCGAGGATCCTGAGGAGCGTTTATGTGCACTAAAAGATGCATTCACTCCTGGGGAAGAGCTTGAAGGGAAGGATGTCGATAACTTATACACGTGAGTTTGGAAAATATATTGCTCCAATTAAAAAAGTTCAAGTTTGTATGAAAGTCCAAGTATGCATGCATTACAAAATTTGCTGTCACTAATTATCTTGAACTTTTTGGTTAATAATTATGTTGGCTCTTACTTGTAAAGTTGGTGGCGTTATTTAATCTTTAGAAGGCACTCAAGCTAGTATCTTAGAAAGAAGGAAAAAAAACTGCTGCTATTGTTCATTCCTGTGATTCCCTCTCCATTGAACATGTTGACAGGGTTTTTATTTCTTCTTGTAGGACACCGGAGAAGCTCCATAACTGGATAAGGTCCATGTTGGATGCTTACTATTTTAGCAGGGAAGGTACTCTCATAAGTGAAGCTAGAGACCTAATGAATCCTAAGATCATCAAAAAGCTGGAGGAACTCAATCAACTAGTTAAAAAGAACTTCATGTGATGTGAGTGCATATCGTGCTTATAAAAAGTACTCATAGTAAATTTGGTCCCGCAGCAGCAGCAGCCGACAATATACATGGGAGTTTTGGCAATGACATCAACCCTAAATTTGATTGCAAACCTTTGGAGATAAAGTCTCTGTGACACCCAGTTTAAACACCAGGATAATGAGTTCTATCCATATATTTAAATCTCACTTTGAGCTAGGGAGAAATACATAACTAGAACAACTGCTATGGTGATTTGTCATTGGTCCTTACAAGTTAGGAAGGGATAGCGGACAAATATCTAAATGTATAGTGGTGTAACATTTAATTTTTTGTTATGACTTACTAAGTTATTTGATAAGGTGTAAATGCTGATTTTTGCTAAGTATGTTGGTCCAATTTTGTTTTACAAAGAAGTAGGTTTTTATTTTTGAAGAACCAGGATTTTATTCCATGCGTAATTAAGAAATGAGTCACAGTGAATGACTACAAAATGTAAGCCCATTTTCTAGATTTGGTTGAGGCCTGCGAGAGGAGCATCTCCCATGTTTTCCATCGTGGTCCTGTCTCTTTCTTCTGTACAAATAGCCCTCAAGGCCAACATGCAGAGAATGGTGTTTCTACTCGAAGCTAATACCCGTAACAAAGAAGTAGA